TATCTGTCGCCTCCCTAGATGCTTTTCTGTTTCTAATAGTTTTTCAGTTGATTCCCATGATTTCCTGCGGCAGATAGTCTGCATCTTTCTTACCATTATTCTATCTCATTTTGTTTGCCTGTCATAGTGAAATTTCAGAACAATGTTAAGTGAGAGCGAATTAAAAATATAGTCCTGTGTGCCCATGCTGTGCCATGAAATGCGTTACCTTCTGTGGGCCCTGCCCGTGATTCACATTGATACATCTGTTCCTAAATAAACGGAGTTCACTGTCTGCTCCACAGGGGTAAGGATTCTCCTGTTCAACTTTGTATTTACATGTACGGTTTATGTGCATTGGTGCATTGGCACCATTATTTCAAAGTGTATTCACATATGTATTGTGGGTCAGAGAAGTTTTAAAGTTTTTGGTGAAATACTCAGAGTTTGCTTTTAGATGCTTTTGTGATTATTTTAAAGCTGTACTTTTAGTATTTACTTCCTTTTAATAGGGTTTTTACATTATTTGAAAATTTTTGAATGGTGGAAGTGATATGTTATAGTTTTCTTGTCTGTATGAATAACATTTTTATAGTGATATTGTAATCGGTGCCTTTTGTTGAATGCTTCCTATGTGCCTGTAATAGGTATTTTATCTCATTAGTCTTCACAACAGGTCATTAGAGTATTATAATTTTTTTTTAAATATTTGTATTGGTTTCAGAGAGGAAGGTAGAGGGAGAGAGAGACAGAAACATCAATGATGAGAGAGAATCATTGATTGGCTGCCTCCTGCACACCCCTACTGGGCAATCGAGCCCACAACCAGAGCATGTGCCAGCAAATGCCTGAACCTGGATTTTCCCTAGTCCAGTGGTCGGCAAACCGTGGCTCGCGAGCCACATGCGGCTCTTTGGCCCCTTGAGTGTGGCTCTTCCACAAAATAGCACGTGCAGGCATGCACGTACAGTGCGATTGAAACTTCGTGGCCCATGCGCAGAAGTCGGTTTTCGGAAAGGAGATAGACGAAATAAGTATACAAGACGAGTGTAGATGGGAGAATTGGAAGCGGTCGACCTCAGCGAACGTACCTCAATAAGATTGAGGACTTTTTAAGCAAAGGCCAGCTTAGAAGTACCCTCATTAAGTTAATAACAATGTACCTACCTATATAGTTTAAGTTTAAAAAATTTGGCTCTCCAAAGAAATTTCAATCGTACTGTTGGTATTTGGCTCTGTTGACGAATGAGTTTGCCGACCACTGCCCTAGTCTAACTGTAGTTTCCCTTGGCATTCTTTCTTAATCGTGAGGGTGGGGAGGACCTCTGCCCGAGTAGTTAGCGTTCACCCTCACACCACCACGGTCTGTTCAGGAGGGTGCCTTTCCCAGGAGCTACCTTCGGGGCTGGGATAACTGCAGTCTCTGTGCTTCAGGTCGGTAAGAGGAGAGCAGCTGTGAGCTGAGTCCAGCGAAGGGAGGCGCTTCTCCGCCCAGCGTGAGGCCCCGGCTCCTGGTGCACCTGTGCAGGGCAGCGAGGAGCTCCGGGGCCGCAGAGCGGAGAATATTTGAATCCCCTTGGTTTTGAGGACTTGGTGATACTCAGATTCCCCTCCAGCTTCCGGTTCATCTGATATTAGTCCTGCTTTTTCTGGTGCTGTGGAGTGCCCTGGGCTCTGGTGTCCTGATGCGGGTGACTGCGGAGGGCGGTCATTGCCAAGGCTAAGGACAGGGCTTCACCAGGTGGGTAGGATTTACAACTGTCACTAGAGTCTGAGCTTTGGGACTCCAGCTGGTATATCGGGTGCACCTGAAGAGGTCCCAGATAACCTGAGCACCTGCTGTTTTTCTCAGGACTTGTTGAGTTTGGGAGTCAGCTAGGATCTAGGGCAGTGGTTCTCAACCTTCTGGCCCTTTAAATACAGTTCCTCATGTTGTGACCAACCATAAAATTATTTTCGTTGCTACTTCATAACTGTAATGTTGCTACTGTTATGAATCGTCATGTAAATATCTGATATGCAGGATGGTCTTAGACGACCCCTGTGAAAGGGTCGTTCGACCGCCAGGGGTCGCGACCCACAGGTTGAGAACCTCTGCTAGGGTGTGGTTGAAGGAACCCACTTCTTTACTCCTTTGGCAGTGAGGGAAGCAGAGTCGACCAGGCCCATGGCCTCATTGCTACTGTTATGAATCGTCATGTAAATATCTGATATGCAGGATGGTCTTAGACGACCCCTGTGAAAGGGTCGTTCGACCGCCAGGGGTCGCGACCCACAGGTTGAGAACCTCTGACTAGGGTGTGGTTGAAGGAACCCACTTCCTTACCCCTTTGGCAGTGAGGGAAGCAGAGTCCACCAGGCCCATGGCCTCGTACTTATGGAGAAGTTGCAGCTCCCTGGTCTCTTTTGTCCCGTCTCCTTTGACCAGGTGTGTGGTGGAGTGATGTTTGGCTGTAGGAACACATGACTTGGCACACAGAAAGGAGACCAGCTGGCTGGACCAGAGTCAGAGGCTTAATTCTTTCTTTTCACACAAGAGAACTTACAGGGAGATAGACTGTGATCGGCAGCGGATTATTTGTGAGGAAGTAGCCCAAGCGATTTGACTCTCTTAATACTCAGATGGGCTCTAATCCTTGTTTCCTTTTTGGTCTTAGATCAGAAAATGTAGGGCAGGGTTGGAATTGGATGATGACAATGCCCACGACAAGTTATGCCCCGAGAAGCTCAGAACTGATTGGAAGGGTGGGCGTGGCAGCTGTCAGTCCGTCTTCACTACTTGTGATACTTGTTTTAATTTTTTTGATTCTACCTCTATCTTCCCTTATCAAAAAGTGGCTTGAATTTAAAGCCAGTGAATGAAAATTAATTTTGTGTAGCAAAGGAAAAAGTATTAATCCTCAGTAATGAAATAAAGTCAAATAAAAACAGTGAAATATACCATTTTCTGCTGACACTAGCAAAGATTAAAAATAAGCACACCTCAAGTTATTACTTTATCAGTATGTTAATTTGGAAAGTACTGCTGAGGGTGTAAATTGTGCTTTTGCAAAATAGTTCAGAAGAATTTATCAAGAGCCCAGAATATTTGTACTCTGCCTGTTATTCCATACCCGGAAAGCTCTCTTAACAGAATCACTTACATTATTTTTAGACCATTTTTCCTATTACAAAAAATAATATATACTCAATGCAGAAAGCTGGGGAGAACATAGGAAGACAAATTAGCAATCACAGATTAATCATAATCTTACTGCACAAAAATAACATTTTGGTATAACTTGCTCTAATTTTTCCTATTTTTGTATACTTTTAAAAAATAGTTGTAACATGCCCTTTCCCCCCGCTCTTAGCCATATATTTTGAGCAATTTCTCCCTCTGTTGTACTCACCTAGGGAAACCCTAACCCTAAACTAGTTCAAACCAACTCTTCTTTTCTTCCTGGCCTATACCTGGATAGGCGAACATTGTTTGAAAATACACATACACAAAACACAATTGAGCTGCCTGGTTTCACATTAAATTCATGGCCATGAACCTCAAATTAGCCCTTAATACTGTCCAGAAATGCTAAAACATCTCTAAATTCACTTTCCCAGACTTCAGGGAGATTTTGGATACCCTCTTTCTTCAAACTTTCCATATATGAGACCACTTTGCCCTCTCTTAGCCAGGAGTCATCTCCAGCAAGGAGACCCTCACCTCTGCCGCTAGATCTTCAACGTCTCCTCCCTGCTTCCCACTGGGGCCATGTGGTACCTGCCCTTGTTCACGCCTGGTGCTTAATGACTGGCCAACAGTGGCTACACAACAAATGTTACTGAATGAGTGAATGAATGCATATATATATATAGTTCCTATATCATTATTCCTAATGAGTACATAGTATTCCATTGTACAAATGTAACCTAAATGACTTACCACTGCTCTATTACTTTATATATTTGTTTCCAATTTTCATTCCACTGAAACATGGGAAATAATCTAAATGGCTATTGGACTATTATGGTTGCATTTTAAATCCTAGGAGGCATTTTTATTAACCTGGGGAAATGAGTTTGGTGACTGGCACACACACACACAAACACACACACACATATTTCATGATTTTAACTGTAAACATGCAGAGAAAAAGCTAGTAGGAAATAACTAAAATGTTCATTAAGCATTTCAAGTTGACAGGATTACAGATTATTTTTCTTTTTTATTTTTTTTAAGTAAACAAGTAACACACGGTATTTTCTGTTTTCCAAGAGTACTGCAGTGAGTGCGTTGTTACAATCAGGAAGACAGTCTAAACATTTCAGAACACGTGTACTGCACATCAGATTATTGCGAGTAGTCAAAGGCAGTTAGGAACCACTGTGCTCTAGAGAAGGACCTACGTGTTTGAAACACACTTGCTAACAGGCCTGCTCACTCCCTGGGTTTAGAAAAGGTGGTAACGTGGCATTTCTGATGAGCCCCGCACGGCTGGGGACACTCAGGTGGAAAGGGGAATGACAGAGACTAAGCAAACACTCTTTGGGAACCTCAATTTTTAAGTATAAAGTAGTCCTGAGACCAGAGAGTTTGAGAACCACCAAATTAAGGAAACAGGAAGAGAACTCTTTTTTGTTGTTGTTCTTGTTAATCCTCACTGATTGTTGGAGAGAGTGGAACGGAGGGAGTGGGAGAGCGAGAGATGAAAGGTTGATGTGAGAGGGACACATTGATTGGTTGCCTCCCGCACATGTGGCCGGGGACCAAACCTGCATCCCAGGTACCCTTGACTGGCAATTGAACTTGTGACCCTTTGGTTCACAGGCCAGAGCTGTACCACTGAGCCACACCGGCCAGGGCAGGGAGAAAACTCTTTATGGTGGGTTGAGTCTGGCTCAGTGAATAGACATTGAACAACGAGAACAAAGCCTGTGGGGAGAAAAATTACCGAGTCTAGTAGGCAGGAGATGAAGTCCTTGAAATTACCTTAAAGTTTCCTTTCTGCTTTTCTTCCTCCCTTTCTTTTGTCCTTTTTTAGAGATCATGCATGATGTGATAAAGAAGGTCAAGAAGAAGGGGGAGTGGAAGGTAAGCAGACAGTATAATTAATGGCCTTAACGGTGAGTTCATGTGGAAAGAACTACGGTGGGGGAAAGTGTAGAGGCAGAGAGTGAAGACCTTTGTTGTGTCCAGAGAATAAAATTTTAAAAAGGTAATCTGCTTATGCCTCTCATTTGATAGGATCCTGGTTATGAAATCTCTTGGTCATAAAGCTTATCTGAAAGAGCACCTGCTGGGGCAGGTTCGCAGTTGGAACTCTTTTATTCAAACAAAATCTTCCCTGAAACCCGTATTTAAGCAGGAGAGGGTGGAATTCTGCCCACTGTGGGAGAGAAAGGCAAGGCCCTTTGGCCTCTCTGGCAGCCTTAAAGCATCTCCATGGAGCCCACACAGCAGTGTGGAAAGCCCTCTTTTGGTCTGTCCCCATCTGTCAGTAACTACATGTTTATTCATGTAACTTTGAGAACAACGCTGGCCGTTTCACATGTAATGTACATGAAACAAGTATTTAAGTCAAACTGATTGTGGCCTCAGTTCCTGGAGCGGGTGACACGAGGAGCGGACAGCGTGCTGCCCTCCATTCAGGAAGTCGGCGTTTTAAGGGTCACTTGGTTGTCTGGGGCAGGGCCTTCCACTGGCCAGGAGAGCATGCAATCTCGCTTGAACTTCCCGTGCGCTATTGAAGTTTATTCCAACCACTCTTGCCTGCAAGTTTGCAAGTCCATCGGCCGGTAGCAGCAGAGGTGACGGCCCAGGCGGGTTTTGAAGTCTCCCCTGGACTTGGGAGACTGTGTTAGCAGCACATCCCCCTCACCACCAGAGCGGGAGGCCATGTGGTGGGAACTCTCTATGCCCGTCTCTGTGGACCTGGGAGCTTTAAAAGGTCTCGAGGAAGCTGCTGCATAGGCTGAAGCCTGGCCCTCGTGCTGCAGCAGCGTGCTTTCTGGGCCACATCATGTCTGGCCTCTGTTACCTCCGTTTATATCATTAAAGGGGGAGAGGAGAACTAGCCTTGTTCTAACTGCATCCCCCTGTCCACCGTGCCGACAGGAGCTAGGAGAGGTTAGCTGAAGAATTGCAGGGGTGAAACTTTTAGACCCGATGGCACGTCTTCCTGAAGCACAGTTGGCTCCCAGATGATGTGTCTGCTGGTGAAGTGCGTCCTGATGACATTGTAACAGTCCTCACCTTCCAGACTGTCCTTGTGGCACGAGTGCTCCCCCTCCCTTTAGGAAAAAGCTCTGCCCTGAGAAAAGACTCCAGTGTAGCTTCTGAGTGTGGGTGCTATAGAGTATTTTTATCTCTTTCTTTGCATTTTTATGAGTAATTGATTTCTTTATCATGAAAAATCAAAAGTTTAATATTTTTTAAACTTACAAAATTAAGTCAAGTCAATAAGAGCAAGCTCTTAACTCCCAAGTTAGGTTAGCGTGTGGGGGAAAAAGCTAGCATGCATTTCAGCTAACTTCTGCTGGCCCCAGGAAATACTGAATCTCAGTGTTCTGCCTTCTGGGGCTTATGTTGAGGTCTGACGCGGTGAGCCGATGAGAAGAGCAGAAGGTGCCATACGGGCTGTAAGCTGGTCTCTCTGCTTCCAGGTGCTGGTGGTCGATCAGCTGAGCATGAGGATGCTCTCCTCCTGCTGTAAGATGACGGACATCATGACCGAGGGGATAACAAGTGAGCGCACCATTCTCTCTGCCCTTTAGTGACACTCAGGCCTTCCCCTTGTGCCAGCTTTCCTCCTCCCTATTCAGTAATACCTACTTGACTTTAGATTCTTCCACTGACCTGGGTGGTAAGACTGTAAGTTCCTGAGAGAGACCCAAGGCTTCTTGTCCATCACTGAATTCCTAAGCCACTGCTAGATGCTCATTAAATATCTGTTCAAGCAGTGGTCTCAACCTTCTGGCCCTTTAAATACAGTTCCTCATGTTGTGACCCAATCATAAAATTATTTTCGTTGCTACTTCAGCACTGTAATGTTGCTACTGTTATGAATCGTCATGTAAATATCTGATATGCAGGATGGTCTTAGGCGACCCCTGTGAAAGGGCCGTTCGACCGCAAAAGCGTTTGCGACCCACAGATTGAGAACCGCTGTGTTAAAGGATGCCAAAAGAAAGGCTAAATCAAGGGAAAAGGCAGGCCATCCAATAGGGAAAAAATGGGCAAAAGACCTGAACAGGCACTTAAAAAAAGAATAAATCCAAAATGGCCAATAAATACATGAAAAATTACTTGCCCACTTTAAGGGTCAGGGAACTACAATTGAAACCAGAGTGAAATATGGCTGTACACTCACCAGACTGGAATATTTAAACGCTGATACTGCCAAGTGACAGAGAGGATGTAGAAAAATGGGAACTCCTATATGATGGAGTGTCAGTTGGTACAGCTACTTTGGGAGTGTCTAGGAGAGTTGAAGTGTCCTATGGTCAGATGTTTTGAGCTTACAAACTTATTTTCATTAATTTTTTAAAACTACATTTTTCTCTATCAAAGCGTGGGAATTCTAAAGGAACTTGGAATTTGGGGGACAAATGAACAACAACAGCAACAAAACCTGAAGGAAGGGGCAAATTTTCCATTTTCAATCAGAGCAAATGAAGGAATTTACTGAAACCGAAATGGGGAGTGGGAAATATTTAGTGTGATAAAGTTTCAGGTCTTCTAAAACCTCAGCACAGTGGGACGGCAGAAAGTGGTGACTATCAGGAAGGGGCAGTGACGCCCCCGCTCCCAGGTTTTTATCTGTGCTTGTCTGAAGGTAGCCTGTGCCTGTCACTTCCAGTCTTGTGATGCCCAGTTGAGTTTTCTCACTCACGGTGGGCTGCTGTTTTGTTGTCTAGTTGTGGAAGACATCAACAAGTGCAGGGAGCCACTGCCCAGCCTGGAGGCTGTGTACCTCATCACTCCGTCAGAGAAGGTAAGTCCTCCCCCAAGAAGAGCTTTGGCTAAGATCACACGTGCTGGCGTAGCGTCTGCGCAGCCGTGTCTGCAGTTTCTGGGTTAAGCACGCATGTAACACACTGCTCTGCTCTCCATGCAGTTCACAATCAGGGGTGGGAGAGGCAGAGAGGAGTGAAGAGAGCCTTACGCTTTCTGAAATACACCGCTGGCCAGAAAGCCAGTGCCAGGCCATTCAGCTTCCCCCTTGCACTCCCTCTCTGGTTAGGGACCTGCTTTATCTAGTTAGGGACCAGCCTTCTGAGATTAGGTATTTTATACTTTCAGGCAGAATTCATCAACAGCCCATTAGTGTTCGGAACTGCCTGTCTTATCGTTTTGGAGGGTTGGTTCAAATCAGTATCCAGACAAGGTCCACCTCCTTGCTTTGGGCTAACAGTTGTCTTAGGCTTGTCTCTCAGTCCATAAATTGCCCCCAGTTTTAACACTTTCTTTTCACTTGTAAAAGTTGGCTTATGAATGAGTTTCTGAAGATGCAACTACACTGCTAGAACTTCATCGGTGTGAATCTCCTAGAAGGTTTCTGACCAGTTTCCTCTTTTGTGGGTCTCTTCTTAGGAACCCATGTTATGGTGGCATCAAAGAACTGACACTGTCATTCTGGAATGATCTAAGAAGGCTCTTGTTCATCTAAACTCCCAAATAATCCTCGTTGCAAATCCCCAAACATGAGTTAGAATTATACATTAAAAATCCCCTGCTATTTTTGTGCAAGTAGCTTGAATGCCCTCTTGGATTTAATTTTGACCAGATATAGGCTCCATTTGCTTCTAGAATTGGATTCAGTTCCCTTTTTTATCCCTCTTCACAGTCTATCCGCTCCCTCATGAATGACTTTAAGGACCCACCGACTGCTAAGTACCGGGCTGCCCATGTCTTCTTCACTGACTGTGAGTACGGCTGTCAGATGCTGCCCCCTCCTCCAGGGTAGCCTTTCTGCACGGCACGGCTGAGCCAGAGCCAAGCCAGGGCAATGGGGAAGAAATGGGTCGTTGCTGTGATTGTCCTGATCTTTTCTTTTCTTTCAGAAGAAAAATTGCATTAGAGACAAAAATAAGCACACCCACATGCAAACCCTGTAGCCAGGGCAGACCTTCCTGATGAAAATAGCACCTTCTTAGGGCTGAGCAGAACGTCCCGGCGCCAGCCTTGGCGTCTCACCGTGTGGACTTCCGGATGTCACTAAAGTATAGTGTATGTCCATCTGCTTTCCAACCTCAAAGGTTTCCCCTGGTCTTTATCTCAGCTAGACTGGCATCGTTGTCCTGGAGTCCATTCTGTTATTTGTGTGCAAGGAGCCCGTGCGCTAACATCCTGGTCAATCTTTGTTAACAGCAGAGAGCTGAGTAAGGCGGGATAGCTAAAGAGCGCACAACCCTAACATGTTCCCTAGTGTTCTTCAAAGGAAAACCGGCAGAACTTACCCCTGAGAAAGTGGGGAAAGGTTCTGGCAAAAAATACTTTTATACCATTTGAATGTGGGTGACAAGAGAGAGCAGGTAGGCAGCATGAGTAATAATGAAACAAAAGTGCATTTCTGGGACCCTGCACTGTTTGGCCCAGGAGAGCTGCGTGAACTGTGGTTCCCCACCAAGTGGGTCTCCTGAGCGGCTGAGTTCCTTCGAGGGTCCAAGAAACACCAGCACCACATTGCCCAGTGGTTTGACTTTTCATTATTTTATTTTTCATGAGCATGTCGGATGCATGATGTTGTGTGTATATATATATATATTTTTAATATATTTTATTGATTTTTTTACAGAGAGGAAGGGAGAGGGACAGAGAGTTAGAAACATCGATGAGAGAGGAACATGGATCAGCTGCCTCCTGCACACTCCCCACTGGGGATGGGCCCGCAACCAAGGTACATGCCCTTGACCCGAATCGAACCTGGGACCCTTGAGTCCGCAGGCTGATGCTCTATCCGCTGAGCCAAACCGGTCAGGGCGATGTTGTGTATATTGCAGGTCTTTTCCTGCAATATAAAAAAAAATATTAAAAACAGTTGTTTTTTTATTAGCTGTCAGAATCTCAGTCTTTATTGCCCATTGTTTCTCTGTTGAGGGCCTTGTGGGTGTTTTTATACTCCTTTTATAGCCTAGAGATAGTGGATATTTTAGGAAGGAATTAACTTTTTATTTCCTTTGTTAAAATGCTAATAAATGAAGAATCCACCAGACACGTGTGACTATTGAAATTAACCAGCAAACAGACAGGAAAACCTAGTGTCTTTTGTCATTCCTGCAGCTTGTCCAGATGCCTTGTTTAATGAGCTGGTAAAATCTCGAGCAGCCAAAGTCATCAAGACTCTGACAGAAATCAACATTGCGTTTCTCCCCTATGAGTCCCAGGTGAGGCTGGTAGGGAGCCATGGAACTCTGCATCCTTGTTACTCTGTCGGGAGCTCTGAGAGGGTGGGGTAGGCGTGCAGTACACAGAGTGGGGAGGGAAGGTGTCATATTCTGGAAGACAATGAGGGGTTGTGAGTGGATGTTTATGTAATGGAAAGAGGCGGTATTCCTGAGGGGTCTGCCCGGCCTTCATCTTACTCGGTATTTATTTCTGACCTTTTTAAAGCCTTTGTGTGCACTTCTCCTTGCTCCCAGCGTTCACCCCAACTGGCTGAGTCCCGAATAACCAAAAGGTGGTCAATCCAAAAAGAGCATGGAAGGAGAGATGGGAAGGGATCAGACAACGCCCATCTGCTGTGAAGGAGACTGTTTCTATGTAGAGATAACCTCAGCCTGTCATGTGCTGAGCGAACAGATGGCAGCCTCCGTCATTAGCCCTTAACACTGCCAGTGCCAGGAGGGCGGCAGCAAGCCGCCTCCTTGGAAAACACAAAGTTGTTAAACCAGTAAAAGAGAAGCTGATTGTGAGAGGGCACAGAATGAATGGCTTAGTCTTTTAAGATTTTTAAAAATCTTCTGGCAAACAAAGAAATGAGATAACAGGACATTTATGCATTTTGTAGAGATAAAAAATGATTGTGGCATATGTCAGTGGTCGCCAACCTTTCGGACCTCACGGCCCACCAGTGGTCTGCGGAGCACTACTGGTTGGCGACCGCTAGCATATGGAATCTTTTTTTATTTTTGCATATGGAATCACCTGTTCTTAGCTAAGGAGGGATGGAAAAAGTACAGCATGAACATTTAAACACGGTCTCCTTCCCAGTTGGCCCAAAGCCTATTCCCTGAGGGCAGCACGTTTTTTCCTCTCTGTGAGCCCTGTCACCACCTGGATTGAACGCAATCCACCTTTAGCATGTTCCAGCACACCATAGATTTTAAAAAACAATACACTTCAAACACAGCCCTCCGCTTTTCTAGATGATCAGGGCGGTTCACATCAATGAGATTCTGAGAAAATACTTAGCTGGTAGGCTAAGGAGTGTAAGAGAAAACTTGAAACTTCGAACTCTCCAAAGAAAAAGAAAAGTAGAACATACCCCTGAGAATACAAAATTGTTTAATCAAAAAGCACCATTTGCACACAGTCACAGCACAATTTCTAGCTTATCCCTTATTTACTTAACCCTCTAATGGCCTGTGAGGTCTGACACTAGGCTCCTCTCCTGCTCTCCTCCCGGGCTCCTCATTGTTCATCAGACACGCTTGCCTCAGGTTTTGGCACAGCCATCCCTCCGTGGGCAAGTCCCTGCTGGTGAGAAACTCTGCACCTCCTCAAGCCCTGTTCAAACGTCACCTTCTCCAGGAGGCCTTGTCCTCCCTGTCCAGCCCATCCGGGCATTCTTTCCCTGCTTTATTATTTTCTCATACACACACCAGTTTCTCACATGCCATACAACTTACTTCATTATGTTTATTGTTTGTTTACTGCCTGCCTTCCCTTCACGCACTCCACAAGGATGATCATGTTTTGGTCACGAATAGTTCCCATGTGTTTAGCACAGTGCCTGGGCCAGCAGACACCCAGCCCAGATTTGAAGGATAAATGAAAACATGCTCTGTAGACTTGCTATCAGGTTTGGAGAAAATTCTGACGTTCAGCATCCTGGATGCAAACACTATATATGCGTATATTTTTGCCGCCTCCTCAGGTGTATTCTCTGGACTCGGCTGACTCTTTCCAGAGCTTCTACAGTCCCCACAAGGCTCAGATGAAGAATCCTATACTAGAGCGCCTGGCAGAGCAGATTGCCACTCTGTGTGCCACGCTGAAGGAGTACCCAGCCGTGCGGTATCGTGGGTAAGAGCGCGCTCGGGAGAAACTGTCCCGACTCCTCTGGCCTTAACATTCCTTTGCCAGTTGTCTCAGGGTCAAGATTTGAGTGTCTCGCATTTATAATTATTCTTCCAACGGTTTTGTCATTTTTTAAATTTTGTGAACTATAGTAATACATACAGAAAAGAGCATGAAATATACATAGATGTTCAGTTATGAGTAACTAAAATATGAACCCCTATTTAATCGCCACCCAAGTTCCCTGTAGTTTTTCATCTCTTCCTAACCTTTAAAAACAAACATCATCTTTGCAGAAGATGTTTCAGAGTAAGGTAAAATACAAAGAAATAATTCTATAAAGGACACAGTCAGGTTTTATAAAGTCATCCATGCATCACTTACCTGCTGTGTGCTAAGTGCTGGGGAGACTCCCCTGAGGACACAGCCCTGAGCTGGGCGGGCAGGGAACATCCCAGCAGATGGGCCATAGCTGTGCACACCTGCAGTGTGAGCCCTGCGAGATATGACTAAGGGCAGACCAGCCAAGGGCCCTTCGGCCCTTCGAGCTGAGAGGATCAAAAGCAGCTCAGACTAGAGGGGTCGTTGGAACTAGGTCTTGAAGGACAGGTTTGGATTTCAAAAGACCGATGAGCACCAGAGGCCTTTTCTGTGACAGGTGGCTTTGCCATTGGAATGAGCAAAAGCGTGGAGCTGGGGAAACCAAGGGCAAGTTTGAGGAGGATGGACCGTCTAGCACGGTGTGTAGGGCAGGGCGACATGGGGCCATTTCTGGAGGCCTCCAATGCCAGCTTTGGGATTAGGTCCTTCAGCGGCTGTCCCCGGGAAACCTTTGGGGGTTGACGGGGGAGTGAACGCAGGAGTCAGGGGAGGAGAAACTGGAGCCAGAGGAGCTGAGGGCCTGAACCTGGAGTGCGGGGGTCAGTGTTCCACCCAGCCTGTTGCCTTTGTCTGCTGGACGTGTAACCGTAGAATGACGCCTCCCTTGGTCTGCCCCAGCGTCTGACCCCTCTGTGGTTGGTGCTCCCTGACAAAAGCTGGAAATGGGGGCCGAGGCCATCTCCCCTGAGAGAGGAGTGGCGGATTGGAGTTCATGCGTGGGAGGGCTGGGCTGGGAGCAGAGGCGCTTCAGCCTGAGCCTGGCCAGCTGGCAGGCAGCACCACACACTGTGTACAGCGGGTGGGGCCCCGGAAACGCTGTCAGGCTGAGCCCAGGGTAAGGTTCAGAGGTTCTCACTTGCTAGCAAACAAGACCCAAGGGAAGTGAGACTCGGGTGGGTCAGGCTCAGATGACTGATGCCGGGGAAAGGACGGATGGTCAGGACCCTCTGCTGATGTGGGGCTGCTCATCGGAAGCTGCTTTTCACCATTTCTGTTGCAGGCACAGAGCTAAATACTTGATTCTGTTTGTCCTTTTTAATGAAACACGCGTATGTGCCTGTGTTCTCATTGTAAAAGAGCAATGCAGGTGAAACTCGCGTGCCCCCTGACCTTCCCGCAGTCCTGCCTCTCTCCCAAGGCCGTCACTGTGTCTCTCCTCCTCGGCAGGGAGTACAAGGACAACGCTCTGCTGGCCCAGCTAATCCAGGACAAGCTCGACGCCTACAAAGCCGATGACCCCACCATGGGCGAGGTAAGAGGCCGTGGACCGCGGGATTCTCTCACCGGGTGATGTGAGTGCCGCTGTCTCTGCTCGTGGCCTCTGGTGCCATGCTCAGCCCCTTGGGCAGGCCGATTGAGACTCTGGTCAGTGTAGCTAGGGCGACGACTCCTTTCTGTTCTCCGGGACGACCCCAGATTTAGCACTGAAAGCCCTGCGTCCTGGGAACACCCTCCACAGAACAATGTCAACCCCAGAAAACGGACCTTGTGCAGATCTCACTAGTTTGCACACGTACTTGTGTGTGTGTGAGTTCTATTTAATTGTATCACATGTATAGATTCCTGTAAGCCCACAGCAGTCAAGGCACAGAGTTCTCGTCATCTCGGGTTTACAGCCACAAGTCCCAGGGCCGGGAACCCCTTGGCCCGGGCAGATGCCTGGTGGGCCACCCGTTCATAGCTGAACCCAGTGGTGCTCTTCTTTGTGAGCTCACCTTGGACCACCACCATTTCAGATCTGCTTCAAAGGACACTCGCTATGAAACAGACATCCTGGGTTCTCTCTCACATGGTGTGGACTGGTATTCTGGTCAAGCAGTAAAGGGACTGTGTTCCGTGCTATTTCAGTAGGTTTTGTCTCCGAGTTCACTTCCTGCTGCCCCTTTTACAGGAGGGCCATGCGTGGTGCAGAGCCAGCACTGTCCGGAGTGCTTGTGAAAGTCCCCCGTGTCCTTCCTTCTAGGGCCCAGACAAGGCTCGCTCCCAGCTCCTGATCCTGGACCGCGGTTTCGACCCCAGTTCCCCTGTTCTTCATGAGCTGACCTTTCAGGCTATGAGTTATGATCTGCTGCCTATCGAGAATGATGTGTACAAGTAAGTATACCATCCGGAGGGACTGCAGCTTTGCAAACGAACCAGATACAACCTCTGACTTAGGAAAAGGGCGTCATCAATCTTAGGAGAAGTAGGTGTTTCCATAGTCTTGTCAGTTAGCCTAGAAGCTTGTCTGTGAGTTCCCAAAATCCTCATGGCACTTCTAGCCAGGAACCCGGGCCCCTTTTGGGGAGAACAAGGACTTTAGTTCCCAGCTCTATATAGTCTGTCCTCGTGTCAGTATGTCGTCGATTTGGGCATGTGTGCATATCTTTTTCAGAGTTGAATCTTACTTGCAGATCATCAAATATGATGACAGATAGATCCACAGGAGTTTCTTACTGAACTCATTTGCAGAGGAGCCGTTTCCTTCATTATAAACATTTTTCTTGGTAGCAATCATTAGAAATTCAGTTTCTAAAAACTAATCTTTATTTTTATGGAAACAGACTGCACTGCTCTCATGTCATTTACATTGATCATAAGGGTAGTGAATGAAAGTTCTGGAACTCTGAGTGGATCTCTGCTCTTCTCCCTTTGGCACCTGCGGTTCTTGTCTTCCTTCGATGTTCATGCTTTCACAGGCGTCCTGGGCCGAGGGCCTGTGCAGGTCACTGCTGACGGTGGCAGGCACCCCGCATTGGATGGTGCTCAGGCCTTTCTGGGAGAGGGACAAAGGGTGGTCTTTGTCTTTCCCTTGTAACTCACTATGACCTGACTCCACACCCCGAGCCACATGGCTCAGGTGGCGCTCACGTCAGCTGACCCTGAAGCATCCAAGACGGAACTCCGTGTCAGTTGACCTTGATTGGAGCTCTCTGCCCGAGGAATTGTAGCCATTAGTGCCCATTCTGCAGACACCAGATGGTCATGGAGCTTATAAAGTCATTCCTGGGGACATCTGTCTGCTGAGGACTGTGAGCTCTTGTCTGTTGCAAACCAGAGGGGACTTGGATGGATTTTGTGGGTCCTCCCCTCTCTAGGTATGAGACGAGCGGCATCGGAGAGGCACGGGTGAAGGAAGTGCTTCTGGACGAGGACGACGACCTCTGGATAACGCTGCGCCACAAGCACATCGCAGAGGTGTCCCAGTAAGAGCCCTCCCGCCCTCCTCCAGGGCGAGGCGTTTCTCTCTCCCCAGGGTGTTTCCAGTGTGCGTTCTGGGCAGCTGGGGTGGAGCGCATCAGCGATGAACTCGCTGCCTTAGCAAAGTGGCCAACATGCTAACCTCTGATGATAAACCCCTTCTGATCCCTGGCTAGGGCTCCACCAGCTTCAGGAAGTTAGAAAATTCATCCTGTGTTAGGGGGACTTTAGGATTTTGGAAAGCATTTGTACCTCTCAGCAAAATCCAAATGATAAAAGCCTAATATGCGAAGTGTCCGACCATTCAACCAGTCGCTATGCTGTACACTGATCACCAGGGGGCAGACGCTCCAACCGGTAGGTTAGCTTGCTGCTGGGGTCTGGCCAGGCAAGACAGGCTGGACACACCATGGAGCCCTCCCGTGGTCCCTCTCCGGCCCCGATCATGCACCGGTGGGGTCCCTTGGCTTAGCCTGTGACCTCTCGCAATCTGGGACCCCTTGGGGGATGTCGGAGAGCCAGTTTCAGCCCAGTCCCTGCAGGCCAGGCCAAGGGACCCCACTGGGCCTCTAGTGCTTTATAAACACTAAGTATGTAAAATGAGTTTGTTCCATTTAAAGGTCCAGACCCCACCATGCAGTTCTCTCTTATGTAGCTGGTGTGTGATCTTCCTCTTCTGTGGTCATACCTAACATTTCTGAGCAAGAACTGTCTCCACACACAGAGCAGACTTTGCTCTGAAAATGTTTCAAAATGTTTCCAATATGTAAATGTTATAAGACCTTTTAACAGTTCTGCTTTTAGAAAAAGACACATTCTGCCACATTGAGTTGGTCCTCAGGAAATTCACAGGCAAGAGTGAGAAAATAATCATCTTGGCTAGCTCTGCTGTTGAGAAGTGGTCTCCACACTTCGGGGATCACTCAACTTTGGAAAATGTTGGTTCACATTTCCAGTATTTACATTTAATTAAATTTATCTGTGAAGTAAAATATATGCTTTGTTGTACTAATGTGTATATTTTACAGCATATACAAAAACATAAATTTGAAAAGGATGAAGTAAAATAAGTATAAGTAGATGTCCTAATATTTACTTCTCTCTTCTGGGATCATCTCATGCACCCCACTCTGGAGAACCCTGGTTTAGAATATTAGCTAGAAAAACACTGTCTGTCTGTCTCTCAGAAAGTCACTTGAACTGCATCCCTTACGACAGGAGAAGTCACCACATTTTCCTAAAGGAAGACTTGCATTATCCCAATGTCACTCATACAGAGGCACTTGGTGTTGCTTTGAGACTTAGCTGCCTTCTTCTGTCTTCCAGGGAAGTCACCCGTTCTCTGAAAGATTTTTCTTCCAGCAAGAGAATGAACACGGGGGAGAAGGTGAGCCCACCCTGCTTTCTCCCCAGGAGCAGGGAGAATGCCACCCCGGCATCAGGCTGGGGAGCTGGGGAGCTGGGGGCCATAGTCCTCCTTCATCCGTGATCATTTTGTCTTACTTTTGCATTCAAGACTGAGATCCAGACCCCGTCTTCTGATATTTATAGAGAGCTTCTTTCTGTTACTCTGTGGATCCATATTTGCTGTTTTGGATCATGATTCATTTTAAGCCAGAAGAACCGTGAAGCCTTTTTTAGCTTGTGAAGGAATTAGAATTCATGACCTAACTTTCCTGGGCCTCTCCTTTTCCTGCTGTTTACAGAGGTGCTTACCCATCAGCAGAGGGAGATGAGCTCTGATTGTGTCACTCCCTGGCTTAAAACCATTTATCAACTTCCCGTTCCCAGGAGAATCAAGCCTCACCCACCTGCTGACACATCTATGGAACCTGGGTCATCAGACTCCAGAGACTCTCTGGTCTCGAACATCTCTGTCTCCCTCCTTCCTGTCCCACCGCCTTCCTCCAGCCACACCTGAGCTCCTTGTCTGGGCCTTGCCTTGTGAAGTCCCAGTCCTTTGCTCAGGTGTCGTGTTTTTTTGTTTTTAAAATGTTTTTAGTCCTAACCGATTTGGCTCAGTAGATAGAGCGTTGGCCTGTGGACTGACAGGTCCCAGGTTCAATTCTTGTCAAGGGCATGTACCTTGGTTGTGGGCACATCCCCAGTAGGGGGTGTGCAGGAGGCAGCTGATAGATGTTTCTCTCTCATTGATGTTTCTAACTCTCTATCCCTCTCCCTTCCTCTCTGTAAAAAATCAATAAAATATATTTTCAAAATAAAATAAAATGTTTTTATTGATTTTTAGAGAAAGAGGGAGAGAGAGAAACATCAATGAGAGAGAAACATTGATCGACTGCCTCCTACATGCCCCCCTACTGGGGATTGAACTTGCATCCTGGGTATGTGCCCTGACTGGGAATTGAACTGGTGATCTCTTGGTGAATGTGACACACTCCATCCACTGAGCCACACCAGCCAGGTCGGGTGTTGTTTCTGGGGGAGGAGGAGGAACCTTCCCTGCTCCTCCCTAGACTGGTGCCGTGCCTCTGCTCTGTGCACCACACTGACACCCTCAGAGAGCGCCAGGCCATTCAACGGGACAGTCCCCGCCAAACGTGAGCTTTTCAAGGCAAAAGTACTTGACATCCTTTTTTTTTTTTTTTTGGTCCTTGTATGTCCAGCACCTAAAAGTGTCTGGAATGTAGTAGTAATTCAATAAATTCTTGTTGGATAAATGAGCGAGATTAGGTGGGTCGCACAGTTAGAGGGTAAGCAGACCCCTTTCACCTGTCAGGATGCTGATTCCAGCCTTTTCACCTTCTCCCTACTGTCCCCTGTCTACTCAGCTGCAGCCTTTCAACATGAACATGATGCCAAAACAGCTTAAGCTGGGGATGCAGAGAGGCAGTGGATAGACAAAAACGTGTTCTTTCCTGGCAAGAGTTATGCTCTCAGTAACTGTCTATAAAACATAACTGCTGGGCTCCGGAGTTCAGCTCTCCACCCGTAAGATAGTCATGCTATTTGGGTCAATAATTATTTGAGCAGAAGCTTGGCAGTCTGAACACACATGATCTTGTGTGTAATGGATTCCTTTTGAGAGTTACAGAACACACTTGGGGCTTTGGTGCTGGCTGCTGTCCTGTCCTGCGCCCACCACACTTGCTCAGCCTCCTAGGTCAGAGCCACGGGCGTGAGACCATCTGCTTTCCTTTCTTTACAGACCACCATGCGTGACCTGTCCCAGATGCTGAAGAAAATGCCCCAGTACCAGAAAGAGCTCAGCAAGGTATGGCGATCCAAAGTGACTGAATGGGATCGTGAGTGTAATGAGCTTCAGATAGGCGTCTCAGAGTCCTGGCACACTGACCGGTCCATTGACATCCACGGATCTTCAGTCATCTTCTATTCTTACTAGACATCTTCCATTCTTACTAGCCAAAAATGGGAGGCTGGGGTAGACAGCTTCTTTCCTAGGACTTTTCTCCTCTTCATCTTTTTCTCTGTATTCTTCCTATTCCTCTTCCATCAACCTCGCCATGGGGCTGCCTGAGTGTCATCACAACCTGGCAGCTGGCTTCCCCAGAGTGAGTGACCCGGGAGAGAGAGCTGGAAAGAAGTCACATGCCCTCCCGGTCCTGATGCGGGACATCACACATCACTTCCTCCGCACTGTTCCTTAGAAGCGAGTCACTGAATCCAGCCCACACTCAAGGAGGGGGAACTAAGCTCCTCCTCCTGGAAGGGAGTAATATCGAAGAATTTGTGGGCACGTTGTGCAGCCATCAGCCCACCCATCCCACCCACGAAGGATTCCTCCTTCCTGTTGACCCTTTGAATGTGGTTTGTTCCTCTCTCTTGACACATAATGCCCTGCCTTGTGGTGGTTGTGTGCGACCTGCATGAGGCTGGTGATTCCTTGGTGTCTGGCCCAGTGTTTATGCATCATAGGGAGGTGGCACACATATCAGCGAGTAATTCTTGCTCACAAACTGCTTTTTCCTAGTATTCCACCCACCTGCATCTTGCCGAGGACTGCATGAAGCACTATCAAGGCACCGTGGACAAGCTCTGCCGGGTGGAGCAGGTAGGACCCTTTCCTTCTCTTCCTGCCATGACCACTTACCCAGCAGAAGTTTAACCTCTGACCTTGAACATCCTGCAGAATCATAGGAAATAGAGATGGGAAGGCCTACGGGATCGTGTGGTCTCACCTCGCGAGCCAGTGCCGCACCCTCTCAAGGGTAGGGACTGGATGGTCTGGAAGGCCATGCCGTGTGGATTTTGCATGTCTGGCTTTCCAGAGGTTCTGAGCCCTACAGGCGGGGCCGGCTGAGTTTATATCCGAATGCATTTCCTCCTGCTGCAGCCACAGCAGCTTCGGAGGCCTCGGGTAGTGCAGTAGCAGGTGGGGAACTCGCCCCCGCCTCACTGATCGCAGTTAGGGCTGGAAGGGTCAGAGTTTGGGATTTGAGTGTCTGTCACGGATTTGTTTGCTGTGCCCATTTCTCTCTGTATTTTCCTCATCTGCAGAGGGAAATGCAGTGCTGCCATGACTTCTGGGAGTGTGGTGTGGTGTGGTGTGGTGTGGTGTGGGGTCAGTAAGCTAGCACTTAGTTCTTCCATTGTAATACCATGACCCAGCCAGGGGCAGCTTCTGGCGGGGAGAGAGCACTCAGCCATCCTGAGGCCTCAGCAGAAGGCCCGCTTCACAGTAAAAACAGCTCAAGTTCTCAGTGAGATGCTGAGATTACATCTTCTGGTTTGATGTGATGGGCTCAGCTTAGGTTTGAGAGACCCGCCCCGATTCATTGCCTCTTCGAATGGACGCAGC